GTGTATTTTTAGTAGAGATGGGGTTTTACCATGTTGGCCAGGCTGATCTTGAACTCCTGACCTCAGGTCATCCGCACGCCTCAACCTCCCAAAGTGCTGGATTGCAAGTGTGAGCCCCACGGAGCCTGGCCCATTTGTCTCAGTTTTTGTTTTCTTTTTTCCTCTCTCGTGCCTCTTTAGGATTGAATATTTAAAAATGATTCTACTATATCTCCTTTGTTTGCTTATTGTCTACAACTTTTGGGAGAGGCTGCTTTAGGGTCTGCAGTGTGTCTTTCAGTGTTGACCTTACAATAGTGTATTTCCATTTTTCTTATCCTGATCCTTCTGCCATCATCATCATGATGTATTTTACCTTTACGTATTTTATAACCCCAGTTACACTTTTTTTCATCCATACAGTTATCTTTTAAATAAATATAAAATACAGAAAAGTTTTATATGTTTTCCTATCAGTTTACCATCCACACCTTCTCATTTCTTTGTGTAGGTCCAGGTTTCCTTCTGCTGTGATTCTACCTCTGCCTGAAGGATTTCCTTTAACAGTTATTGTAAGGCAGGCCTGCTGGTGATGAATTCTTTCATTTATTGTAAGGCGGGTCTGTTGGTGATGAATTCTTTCAGCTTTTGTTTGCCTGAAGACATGTTTATTTCACCTTTGTTTTCAAAGATATTTTCTCTATGTGTGGAATTCCAGATGGAGGGTTTTTAGTGCTTGAGGGAGTCTCTTGCCCTGTCTCACTCCCGTGGTGTCTGATGAGCTTCTAGTATTTCTTCTCAGTGCTTTTGAGCAGCTTGATCACGACAGACCTTGGAATGGTTTTCTGTATGTTCCTTGTGTTTGTAGTTCATTGAGATTTTTGGATCTGGGGCTTTGTAGTTTTCATGAAATTTGGACCATTTTGAACCTTTATTTCTGCAGATGTTTTTTCTGCCCCTCTCTGCTCCTCAGGACCCCAGGCACACAGGTACAGGCTGCTTGGCTCGGTCCCACCGTGGCTCAGTAAAGCTTTGTGCTTGTTTTGCGATTTCTGTTGCTGTGTCTTCAGGTTCACTCATCTTTTCTTCTGCAATGTCCAATTTGCTATTCATCCCATGCAGTAGTTTTCATGGTTCTCACTTCTGCACATTGTTTGGATCATTTAAAAAATATCTTTCGTGTCTCAGCTTAGATTTAATGTCTTGTCTGTTAATTATAACATTGGGTCAGTTTCAGTTGACTGATTTTTCTTCTCATTAGGGGTCTGTTTTCTTGCTTTGTAGGCCTGGTAATTTTTGGATGTCATAAATATATACATACATACACATATATAGACACACACATATAGACACACATATACACATATATAGACACATACACATATATAGATACATACATGCACATATAGACAGATACACATATATAGACACACATACACATATAGACACACACACAGACACATACACCTATATAAACACATACATAGACACACAGACACACATATATAGACATATATATACATACATACACATATAGACACATGCATATACATATATAGACACATACATACAAATATATATAGACATACACATAGACACATACGCGTACAGACACACATACACATATATAGACATAGACATACATATATACACACATATATAGACACATATAGACATACATATATACACACATGCACACATGTAGACACACACATAGACACATGTATGTAGACATACATGCACTTCTATGGACATACATACAGACATATGCACACATAGGCACATAGACATATACATAGACACACACATACATAGACACATAGACACACATATGTAGACACACACACATACATATACATATATATATATATATATTTGTTTGTTTGGTTTTTTCGAGATGGCATCTCTGTCACCCAGGCTGCAGTGCAGTGGCATACTCTCAGCTTACTGCAGCCTCCACCTTCTGGGTTCAAGTGATTCTCCTGCCTCAGTCTCCCAAGTAGCTGAGATTACAAGTGTGTGCTACCCCCCCCGGCTAATTTTTTTTTTTTTTTTGAGATGGAATCCTGTTCTACCAGCCAGGCTGGAGTGCAGTGGCTCGATCTCGGCTCACTGCAACGTCCACCTCCCAGGTTCAAGCAGTTCTCTGCCTCAGCCTCCCGAGTAGCTGGGATTATAGGTGACTGCCACCATGCCTGGCTAATTTTTGTACCTTTTAGTGGAGATGGGGTTTCACCATCTTGGCCGGGCTGGGATTCGTTTTTTTTTTTTTTGAGACAGAGTTTCGCTTTTGTCTCCCAGGCTGGAGTGCAGTAGTACGATCTTGGCTCACCGCAGCCTCCGCCTCCTGGATTCCAGTGATTCTTCTGCCTCAGCCTCCCGAGTAGCTGGGATTACAGGCATGTGCTACCACGTTCGGCTAATTTTGTATTGTTAGTAGAGACAGGGTTTCTCCGTGTCGGTCAGGCTGGTCTCAAACTCCTGACCTCAGGTGATCCGCCTGTCTTGGCATCCCAAAGTGCTGGAATTACAGGTGTGAACCACCACCCCTGGCCCACACCCAACTAATTTTTGTATTTTTAGTAGAGATGGGGTTTCTCCATGTTGGTGAATAGGCTGGTCTCGAACTCCTGACCTTAAGTGATCCACCCGCCTTGGGCCTCCCAAAATGCTGGGATTACAGGTGTGAGCCGCTGTGGCTGGCCGGATGCTGTATATTTTGAGTTCCACCTTGTTAGGTGGTGGATAGCTACATTCCTGTAAAATTTTTGAGCTTTGCTCTGGGACAGTTAGGTTATTTGGAAACAATCCTGTCTTTTTGTGAGTTCTTACCATTGGAGGTCTGGGGTGTGGTCAGGGGCATCTTCTCCAGGCGTGCTCCTCTCTCCTGGGACTGCTTTTCTGGAAACCAGGGCCCTTGAAGCTACTGATTCAGAGTTCACACTTGGTGGCTCCCACCTTCGTCCCTCAGGGTTCTCATGCTCCCATGGGCTCTGAGTTCATGTCTTGTTTTGCTAGGCCTTGGGGTGAGTCCTGTGTTGCCAGGTCATGCTGTAACCAGGTCTGAGGGCAACAGCCTCCTCAAGGCTGAGCCTGTCCTCATGGGAGCCACGAGGACAGGTTCCCGTCACCCCTGCTGGTCAGGAAGGTTGGGAGCGTGTTGGGTCTAGGTTAGTCAGGCTCCTGAGGCTCAGGGCAGTGTTTGTCTCCGTGAGTTGCTGCTTTGTGTTGGCCTTTCCCTCCAGGCCTGTCTGCCCAGAGCCTGCACTGAGAGGAGTCAGGGCGTCCATGAGAATCACCGGGTGGTGCTCAGCAGTGGTGGGTTGCTAGTTCAGCCCATGCTGGTCCGTCTGCTATGAAAACACCGCTCAGACATCTGGCCAAGTGGGAAGGATGCAGGTGGACTGGCTGCCTGGAAGTTACTGAGTGCCATCCTTAGCAGCAAATGGGGTGTGTTGGCAGGTGTTCTGTGCTCCCCTTTTGGTTTCCAGGAGCTGGGCCTGCACGGAGACCTGCCTCTTCCCGCTTCTGAATAGGGAGGCTGAAGCCTGTGCATGTGAACAGCTGTTACTCTTTCCGTTGCAGCAAGGGCTCCAGTGGTGGGAGCTGCCCTCTGTGCTGCTGGCCATGGCCACACAGGACACAGCGCAGGGATTCTTAGACAGTGGCTCTCCCCTGGGGCCCAGCCCGTCACCCCTGGTTTCATCTCGGTCACCCACAGTGCCGTAGTCACTGTTATCCACAAGAAGTGCCTGGCCATGGCCTTGGTGGCATTCAGGAGGGCGGGTGGGTCCGGCCTGGCTGGCTGCGCAGTGTTGGTGCTGGGCCCCTTGGCACTGACCTGCAGCTTGTGTGCAGGTACGTGCAGCACTACGGCCTGGGCAGTGCCTGTGACAACATAGAGCGCATGCTGAAGAGTGTGGCCGTGAAGCTGGGGAAGACGCAGAAGGTGAAGATCCTCACGGGCACCGGTGAGTGTGGCTGCTGATGCAGGCACTGGAGCCTCACCCCTTTACCCAGGGGGACCCGACTGTCCCGGAGGAGGCAGGGAGGAGAGGGACGTGTCGAGGAGTGTGCGGGTGGCTCTTCTGGGAATGGGTTTCAGGGCAGGGGAGCTACAGAAAGTGGTGGAGAGGAAGGGCTCGTAGTCCAGGCTTCCAGGGGTGAGACCGGCCCTGCCCCATGCTGGGCAGTGCTAGGAGGACACCTGCAGGCCTCGCTTGCCTGGCCTTGGAGGCTCCAGGCAGTGCAGCTCAAGCCGTTTTGTTTCTGAGTGTGATCCTGTTCCCCAGGCTTCCCTGATGCCACCCCAGGGTCTCTTAGGGCTGGTCCCTTGGGTGGGCGGGGGCTGGGCCCGTCCTGCTGTGAAGGCTCCTTCCTCACTGAACCCTCCTGTCTCCTAGGCGACGTGAATGTTATTCAGCCTGACTATCCTGCGGCAGCCCGTGACTTCCTCCACACCTTCCGCCGCGGGCTGCTGGGCCCCGTGATGCTGGACCTCGATGTCCTGCGGGGCCACCCCCCGGCTGAGACTGTGTCCTGAACCTGTTGCAAGGGGGAAGGCACCGGAGGCCTGTGGCCTCCCAGCCTCCTGACCGGGGTGGTTGAGTTTCAAGACAGCTCACCCGGTCCAGAAGCTCCACGCTGGCCACTAGGGTGCTGTGCTCTCTGGCGCCCCCACGGCCTGGTCAGCTCCAGGGGCCCTGGTTCCAGGGGTGGAGCGGGTGGGAGTGGACACCAGGCTTCCCAGTCGGCTCCCGAGCAGCCCCACATGCTTGGTTCTCCCGGAGCTTCTTGCCCAGTGCCTCCGTCTCAGGAAGTTATGACCTGTAACCTTTAAAATCTCCAATTAAAGGGCCTGTTTGTTACTGGTCAGGGAGGTGTACCATAGTGCTTTGGGCCTGTGTGTGGAAGTTGGTCTCACCAATGGAACCTAAGAAACGAGCAGGTTGGCAACTGGGGCTTGTGTTGGAGTCTTTCAGTCCGGTGTCCTGCAGTCCTGCAATAAGGAAGAGGCTGGCTGCCAGCAGAGGGGTTTATTTCACACTTAAAGGCGCACACGAACATGGGCAGCAGACTCCCAACAGCAGAGCCTGAGCACTGGCTTTGCCCCTCAGTGCCCTGGGTCTTGTTCCAGGGCAGGGGTCAGGGGGACGCCCTGTACATGGCTTTGCTGTGCACAGACTGGAAGGTTGCCCGGCATGGGCAGCAGAGACCCCTGGCCTCTGAGCACCTTCTAGCCCATGGGGTAGTGGGATTCTGCAGTAGTGGGGCTGAGGAGGGTGGGGAAGGGGGAAGAGGAAGGAAGGCGGGTGGAGCTGGTGTGGTGGGGCCTGGGGTCAGGGACATCCTGTGCAGAAGCTCCGGCTGCCTCTTTGCAGTGGTGGCCTCAACTTCCCACAGCAGCCTCCACCATGGCCCTGGTGCTCAGCGGCCCCTCCTTGCTGGCTGGCCGCCTCTGCTGCCTCAACCCCACACACTCAGCAGCCTGAAGTTAGCCCCCGAGTGCCACCTGCATGCTGCTGTAACCCTGACCGCCCATGGCAGGAAGTATTGAGGAGAGTAGATGTGTCAGATGCTAATGTGCTGAATAAACGATCACTGCAGAGCATGGTGTGTCCACATCTGGAACGTTCCATCAGCCTGCAGCGCTGTGGTGTATGAGGATCTGGTGCGGCACAGCCCATTTTCCAAGTGGGTGTCTGCAAAGTCAAGGGGGCTCTGGTGGGTTTCCCTTCCTTGAGAGGACTCAGACCACTCCCTGCCTACTGGGGGAGATGGTAGAAGGGCTCCTGCCTGTGAGGCTCTGCCGGCCTTGGTGCATTGAGCTTGATCTGGAAGGGTGCAGGAGCATCGGGCCAGGGGCATTGCTAGCAGTGTGGACAGGAGGCTGCAGGTGTGGCTTAGTGCCCCTGTGCTGGAGAGCAGTGCTTGGTCCAGAGTCCTGCCAGCAGCTTCCAGATCCTCACCTTGGCTGGAACCCAGGCCAGCTGGGGAAGGCAGAGGCCGGTAGGGCCCGTGAGAGATGCTGGTGTCGACTTCCGTGTCCACTGAGGCCAGAGGCTTAGGTCAGGAGGCTGCAGCCAGCTGGGGTGAGGCTCTCACCAGGGCATGCTGAGGGTGAGATCCTAAGGCCACGGGGGCCACGGGGAACCCATGCTACCTTGGATGAGTTGGGTGGCTGGAGAGCTAGATAATGTGGCAGACCCGAGACCCCTCAGTGCTGAGCCCATGGAGGATGCCCCAGGCTGGCAGGACTGGGAAGCAGGGGGCCGGTCTTACACACAGAGGTGTCCAGTGCTGGAGGCAAGTCCTTGTCAGGATGCCCGGTGCCTCCTGGAGGCCACTCTGTGTCCCTCGTGTCCTTGGATGCCAGAGCCCTTGGAGATGTTGGGGGCTCAGCCTCGCATGGGTGTCCTGTGGGGCGCTGGGCCTCACTGCTGGCCTTCTGCTCGCTCCGTGGTAGTTGGCTTCTTGCTCCACTGAGCAGACCGTCAGCTGCCAGCTGCTTCCAAGGAAGGGGCTGCCTGCAGGGAAATCCGGGAACGGCGCAGCCTGAGCTGTGCCCAGGGAGGGCTCTTCAGCGGGATTGGCAGTTGCTGTGCCCTGAGTACAGGCAGAACTGTGTGATCCCTGAAGGTGAACCTAAAGTTCAGAGGAATTGGAAAGCTCTGGAATGTGTCAGGATTTTTTCCCCAAAATGGGTCCTGAAGAGAGTAAAGTGACTTGTTTAAAGTTGCTGGAGCAAAGTGGGTCTCAGGGATCTCTGCCTGAGGTGTGGGGGACAAGGCCTGGGCAGCCCCTCTGGGGCAGGGCATGTCCTCCCACGAGGGAGAGGAGCAGGATGGACGTTCCTGGGATGGACACGTTTCCTGCTTGGGAGTGTTCTGGGTTGTGAGAGCCACAGGGTTTTGTCTTGTGGGCAGGTGGTTAGCACCCAGCGTGTTCCCCTCACTTCCCCCCAAATCCCTAAGTCCTTTGGTCCATTTCATTGCTGCTTTTGGGGAGGGCCATGGTCCTCAGGGCCTCCCTCAGTGGCAAAACCAGCCTGAGGTCACCTCCCTGCCATGGGTCACCAGGGCCCCTGGGCAGGGGAGGGGAGCAGGGGTGGCTTGGATGCCTGGTCTGGCACCTCCCTTTGGGCGGCTCTGGAGCATGGCTGGGCGGATGATACAGGAGCCACCGGCAGCTGCCTTTCTGGCTGGGGGGACCCTAATATATTAGAGCTGGTGGGGCAGGACGCACGGTCCCCTGGAGGTGGGAGATGGGGGTGGCGTAGGCAGGACGGTGGATGGCGGGTCCACAGGGACAGCCTGCAGCTCCTGCCCCCACTGGGGCTCAAGGCTGTGGGCAAAGGAGGGAGGGGGAGCCCCGGCCTTAGGACTTGGGGAACGGCGTGGGCCAGGGACCAGATGTGATCCCTGAGCCCAGCCTGGCCTAGAGCCGCAGCAGCCCCAGGAAGGCGCCGCCCAGCACGAGACAGAGGCTCGGATCGCGCGTGGGCCCAGCGCCCGAAGTCCACGCCCGGTAGCTGTAGATTCCAGGGCCGGTCCCGTTGCCTCCGGGCCCCCGGTCCTCGTCGTCCTCCAGGCCGCGCTCTCCGGGCCCCGCGGCCCTTCTCCAGCCCGAGCCAGTTGCCAGGCCCGCGGCAGCTCCTGCCGCCGCCCCCGCCGCCGCCACGCGCAGGGAGGAGCCCGGGGCACCGTAGCGCGGCGCCGGCCTCACGCGCACCCTCGAGGCCCCGCGCGCCCCCCCGCGGAGTCCTCCCCGGGCGCTGCCTCGCGCTCCTCCGCGGCCGCCCTTGGCCGCGCCGCTGTCGCAGAGGAAGGCGGCTGCCAGCAGCAGAGCCCAGCACGTCGCGGGCGCCCAGTTCATCTTCGTGGGGCAAAACCTGCGAGAAGACGGGGAAGGGCCGTCAGCGTCCACGAAGATCGGGTGCCCAGGGCCTGGGGCGGAGGGACCCTCGGCTTTTGTGGGGTCAGGGAACCCCAGCATCTTGGAGGACTGCTCAGGCCCGGGGTGGGGCTGGGGGCGCGGTTGAACCTTTAGCATCAGGGACTGAGTCTGGTGGAGGCGCTGGGAAGTGGAGGGTGGGGCGGGAGGGTTTTGCGCTTGAAGGTTGTGCACCTGGGTGGGAGAGCACCCAGCCCGCGGTGAGCGTCTAGGCCTGGGGAGACGTCCAGGCCCTGTGGGGGGATACCTGGGGGGGACAGGCTTGCGGGGGGCGCCATGCTCCTGGGTTCTGCGCGCGGTGCTGGGGTGGGGGGTGGCACGGGGGGAGGGGCGATGTGTTTGGAGGACGCGGTTGCGGGGAGCAGGGACGGGCCGTGCCTGGGCCTGGCGCCCACCTTAGTGTCCAGAGCCAGGTGCGGGCCTTGCCGGGGCTGGGGAGGACGCGCGGCTGCTGACCCCGTGCGGACCCCGCCCCGGCAGGCCGGTACCCTGGGGACGGTCCCTTCCGCGCGCGCCCCGCGCTTGGCGCCTTCCCCGGCCGCCCGGTTCAGCAGCTGGCGGGGGACAGGACGGGGTCAAGTCTCGGGGCCTCCTCCGGGCGCAGCGATTCGGGCGACGGCTGGATTCCTCCCGGCCCCGCACCCGCCCCGGCCCCGCACCCGCCCCGTTCTCCCGGCCTTACCCGCCACGGGCCTCGGTCGGAACCTCGCACCGGAGTATCCGCCCCAGGGGCCGCGGCCGAGCGGGAGGGAGCAGGCGGCGGCGCAGACTCTTAGCCGGAGCGCGGAGCCGCGGCGCCTGGGTTTTGCGCGAGGCCTACGCCCTGGGATTGGGGCGGGCAGTCGCGGAGGCTGGTGGGAGGGGAAAAGGCAGGCTCCGTCCCGGCCCCCCCCTCGCCGCCTCCCATCCTCCATCACCGGCCCCCTCTATCTCCCACCTCACAAGGCCCCTCGCCCCGTCCCGGCCGCCCCCCGCGCCCCCGGCCCCGCTCCAGCCTCCCCGCGTCCCCCCTCTCCATACCCCCATCCCCACCCGGGCCCATCCACCTGTGCGCCCCCGTGCCCTGGGACGAGGCCCGAGGTCCCGAGAGGAGAGGGCGCCAGTGCCGGCCCCACGCGGCCGGAGCCCACCCCGCGGCCCCTCCCCAGGCCTGCGCCGCCTCTGCACCGGCTGAAAGCTGCGGGGTCGCGCGGGGACCTCCTCAACCTCCCGCCTTTAGTGCGGATGGGGTCGACCCTTGTGATCCCCTAAGGCCCCCCAGGCTCCTCCTGGCCCGGCTGCCCCCTCCCGTGGCTTCCGATGCCACCTGGGCCCGCGGCTTCTTCCCAGCCCCGGGCGGCGGCGCCTGCGGTGAGTTTCAGCGCTGGGCGCGAGGCCAGCTCCCAGCCTGGGACCTCTGCTGCCCATGTGGGGGCGCCCAGCAAATAGGGGGTGAATAAGGGAGTAAATACGTCTGCCTTCCAACCTGCCGCATGTTAGGGGGAAACACTGTGGATAAAAACCAAGGTTATGCTTCTCATTGCTAGCTACTGCGAAGGGTCGGACAGAGGCTTAGCTTTTCGGGCGAGATGGGCAACAGTGTTTAGAGCCTTCGGCCAGAAGGGCTGGAAAGAACGTGTATTTGAAAGTGACTGACAGCTGTTCTGGCCCGAGGCGCCGCCCGAGCAGGTCCACCCAGCTTCCCTCCAAGACCTGATGAAAACCACAGAAAGTAAATTGACAAGGAGAGCAGGAAGGGCCCCAGGTGCTGCCCATCAGGCAGAAGGAGCTTGGAGGGGAGGGACGGCGGCCATGGCACGTGGAGGTGGAAGCAGAGTCCTCATAAGTGTGCACACTCTGGTCGAGCCCCCTCCCTGGTCACACACAGAACAGCCAGCAGTGAGCTGCTTACCCCAAGGAGTCAAGGGGGTTTCTGTGCAACCCCTGGTGCTGGAGCTGGCAGTGGACAGCGCTCAGACCTCCTTTAGTTTTGGCTCATGGGGAGTGTCTGGGGCCCTTCCCTCCCCTGCCTAGGAGGGGATGTGTGACCTCCCCTCAAGATGGCTTTGCAGCCCCCTCCCTCCGGCTGTGGGCGGGGAGGGGCTGATTCCCAGCACAGGCCCAGGACTGCCAGCCCAACGGCTGGGAGGGGCCCCTCACCCCTAGACTCTGCGGTGTGAGGCCAAGTGTGCAGCCTCACAGGGAATCTGAGATGGGAGCAGCCAGAGGGGTCAGGACCCAGGGGGAGAAGAGGTCCTGGTGATGCTGGAGATCTGGATCCAGCGTGCCAGAGTTGAGGTTCAGGGGTGAAAGGCTTCCTTTCGTGGAATCACGAGTCTCTCCGTTGCCTGCAGTTAACAGCCCCCGCCCGTGGCTGGTTCCCTACCTCCTAGTTCTAAGGCCCAAATACGGAGACCTCCCAGGCAGCCTCCTCAATGGCTTCATTCACGGAGAGCTGCATCACGTAAAAGAAAGACCAGGCAAAGAAACAAAATAAATGGATCAAGATATGTGAATGAATCGGAGGAAAACTTAAAAAATGCTCCAATCCATAGACTCAGACTGAGTAGATATATTTATATAATAAGAACAAGAAATGGTGAAGATGGAATAAGACAAGGCAATTTTGAGATTAAAAAATTGTTGCAAGAAAAGAAAACAAAGAATTGTACGTGTCAGGAAATCTTTCTGGCAACAAGACAGCAAATAGGATAGAAGGGGATACACCCGGGGGATGCATTTTGGGCTCTAACATCTGACAGCTGTTCTGAGACCACGGAACGGGAGAAGGAAGGGGGAGGTGGTGCTCCAGCTGATTGCATGATTCCGGAGGCCTCCTATCTTTTTTTTTGTTTTAATTAATTTTTTTTTTTTTTTTTTTTTTTTT